CTCTTCTCGTCTATGCACATGAACTTGCGTGAGTTCTTGTGCAACTCCGACATCGTCAACAATGCTATTCATCCTCAAGATCGGGTAAAAAAATTATCCAATGTAAAATTATTAGGTATTCCTTGGAACTACACAGCAGATAATCTGTTCATTCCGCTAAGAATTGCCGACCAACCGGTGCAGACAAAACGTACGGCGCTTCGCGCCTTGTCTTCTACATTCCACCTTATAGGACTTCTTTTACCGTTTCCAGCACCGTTCAAGATTTTCGTTCAAGAAATTTGGAAGTAGAATTATCAGTGGGATGATCCATTTGATAAAGAAGATCTCGCTCGCTGGTTGTTCCAGCAAATACCTCTTCCACATTGGATCTAGCAGTTTTTGGAGATGCTTCTAAACGTCTCTACGCTTGCTGCGCATACCTGATCAGCCATTCTTTTACCAAAGTTTCGTCGCATCTGATCATGGCAAAGTCACTACTCGGCCCAGTCAACACAATGACGATGCCCCGCATGGAATTTATGGCCCTTCTAATTAGTGTTAGCGATCCATTGTTTCAACATTGCAGTCTACCGGTACCCGTGTCGAGTTCCACTATGTCCAATCGGAACATAATCCAGCTGGTTGTGCTACTCGTGGCCTGCCTGCTCAGTCCGCTTTAGATCATATCTGGTGGTGCGGACCTTCTTTTCTCCGCTCACCGCTTGCACACTGGCCAGGAGCAAATGTGGATTTCAATCTTCCCCCAGAGCTGAATCCAGAGGCAGAAAAAGAATTTCAACCCCTTATCACCACTAAAATCCCTACATATCAATCGCCAATTCATTTCTGAGCCACCCACAACTACCTCAAACTAGTTCGCACTACGGCCTATGTTCTTAAGATTGTAAAATCCGTTTTGGCAGTAATCGGACATTCACCTACTTCTCTAAATCTAAGTTATGTTATGTCCACTAAGCTAATCTCTGCCGAGGAATTTAAACCCGCAGAGCATTTACTTATAAAAGAACACTACCGCGAAAGTGAATTTTAGCTAGAACAGCTTCCACTTTCCCACTTCAATGCGCAATGGTCAACAGAAGGCCTCATTCGATGCCCTAACCGATTACAAAACACG